AATCGAAAATAATCGATTAATTTAAAAAGTCTATTAAACAATAAATCGATTTTTCTAAAAAATCGATTATTTTCAATAAATCGAATATTTTGAATAAATCTACTCTCTTTTTGTAATTCCTTTATAATCGATTATTCCATTACCTAAAAAAACGAAAAAAATTTATTAAAAATGTTCGATTAATCAAAAATAATCTATTAAAGATAATCGATTAATTATAACGGATAAAACGATTTTCATGAAAACGATAAATCGATTATTTTTGTAACCCCTATCGGTCGCATGCTTTTATCAGAGCATTTAGCTCCAAAATTTAGAGATTCGGATTTATTGATCCTGTTATCGTTGAAACCGCATTCGATTGTATAATAAATATTGCTAGAATTTAGATTTTTTTAGTAAACGAAGATATTTTTCGAGTTGTTTAGGGGTTTATAATGTAACATTTTACTAATAATATGACTAATTTCCGTAACTTTAGTATTTTTTGCTTATACTAGATCATATTGCGCGTTTTACTTTGTTTTAAGATTCAAATGTCACTTCTAATTTAACCGCAAATAAAATAAACCTTGAAATTTTAAGTAGGTGAACCTGTATTTCATCTAATATTCTTGTAAAAATATCTAATAAAGGGCTAAAAACCACTTTTAGTAAATATTTTTATAAAACTACTTTTTAAAAACAAAATTTCGTTAGTAACAATGCCTATTTACTTCTTATTTAGATTAAATATTTATTGAAACCCCTTAATGCGGATCTGAAGTATTCAGCTCAAAGAATCATGGCGATTTTATGTCAAAACGTCAACAAATATTTACCGCTTTATTTTTCATAACATTGACACATATTATTTGTATATACAATTTTTCACCATACATCGTGGCATTTTCAACTTGAAATTGAATAACTAAAACACTTTAAATTGCTAATAACACCAACAAATAATTCAAAAACGGCGGTCCATAAATGATTTACTCACGCGGAGACAAGCAAAGAATAGAAATTTCGGAGCAATTCGGGTGGCGTCGTGAACACAATGATTTTTAATTGGTGGGTTACTTAGGTTTGGAATAGACAACATGCGCAATGTGCAATGTTACATCTCCGGTCTCTTTTATCTAAGTGAATACCTATAGTTCGAGATTCTCAATGCTAATCAATTTTATTTTTGTAAGAGACTGTACAAAACACATGTAAGCTTATATATATATGGATTCTAATAAAATCCATCCGGCAACCTCATAAATACATGAATGGTTTGCTGTAGAAATTTGTAACTTCCTCATATTAATTTTAAGGGTTTGTTTTGGTTCAAACAGAACCGCTGATTCCAGTTCTCAAATACAGTGGACGAATTAATTTTTCAATGAAACGTCGCGAGGTTATAACATCCTCTTAGCTGATCGAGTGTTAGTTTGGTACAACGCGTTGATTGCAGCGTATACAACGTTGCCAAGTTGTAATAATTTTACCAACTACGCGTCGATTGCTTTAAAAACATTTTTATTTTAAAAATCTATATCTTTTTACTAAGAAGGTCAAAAAATTCAGCGTTTCTTTAGAAAATTTTATACCTTCTTGATTTACATTACATTAGTTTTTAAAAAATATGGTAAGAACAGTTTTCGAGATATCTGAAAATACATGCATTACTTGTGTACATGAGAGGCTTCAAGAGTGTTAATTATGCACATTTTGATTGTTAATATCTCGTTTCACAGATGGTCAAAAAATTAAATTTTTTTTATTTACATAAAAGACACTTTCATTAACCTTATATTTCAATTTTATTGAATTCTTAAGAAAAGCCGTTTTACGAGTGAACTACCTTAAACAGACTTCAAACGGTTTTGTAAGCATAGAAAAAATGAATCCTAAGCTAAATTTACTCCACTATTACTTCAGGTATCTTGGGATCTCCGAGAACCATCACATTTGAAGCGTTTCGTATGATAGCTATTGTCCCAGAGTCGAGACATACTTGTTTAAGCGATCATGTGGCATCTGTGGTCTATATTTTGCATCATACAAGGCCACTAACCAAAGGGACAACAAGAAGTTTTGCCCATCGCAAAGATTTATCCTTAAAGAATTGCTGCTAGACGTGCCAGAGAAATTCTTTGTTTGAATAACGATGATGCCATTTGGTTGGATGAAAAAGATGTTGACACAACGAATGTTCCTGGCAATAACAACCCAAACAAGACCGAAGTAGTGGGTTCAAAGTCCATGGACTCAAGATGAATAATTTTAAATATTTCAATAATCGTTTTTCGTTTTGATAATTTTTTCAAATGTTTGATTTGATTGATGTTGATTTTATTAAAAATAATTTAAATGGAAGTAGTATCTGTATCTGTAACGTGTGGAGAGATAGGCACCTCCTAGCTCGTCAGCCAGCCTACAGATTTAATGTAGTTGACAACGTCGCCAAGAGGTGCTTCTCTTATATCGGCCGGTGTTAGCCGATACTCGCCGAACACAAATCTTCTAATAAATGAGAGCGTCGGGCAATCGTAAAGGATATGCTTGATGGTCTCATCTTCTTGTTCGCACCCTCTGCAGAGTGCAGATTTCGACAGCCCCATATATGATATGGAGATGCTTCCGTACTTGGCAATGACCAGTCAGAATGCCTGTGACCAGACGCAGATTCTGTCTAGTCATAGTCAAGTATTTGTTTTCTGCAGTGTTGTCAGGATAACTTAAGAGCTCCCTGGCAACTCTGCAGTTTCTTGTTTCATCCCAGCTTTCCTTGAATTTCACAAAGGAATGTTCTTTAATTAGGTCTGTCACTATCGATTTTGTCAGGCCAATGGAAGGGCCAGGTCCAAAAAGTATTACTTTCTTGGCTAGTGAATCGGCAAGACGGTTACCTTTCGATGTGGCGTGACCTTTGATCCATCTTAAGGTGACCACATTGTTGATGGATACTTCGGCCAAAGCTTCATGACATTCTAGTACTAACCCTAAATAAATTCGTGGTCTGTTCAGGGTGAGTAGTGCTTGTCTGTTATCTGTATAGATGAGCATGTTCCTTCCAGTTATATTATTTCTGGTTATTTCTTTTGCTGCTATGAGAATCCCCGTTAGCTCTGTTTGAACTACACTGACACTATTGGGCACAGCCCATTTTATGTTTAGGTTTAAGAATCGGGAGTATATTCCGCATCCTGAGTCTTGTTTTGTTTTAAAACCGTCGGTGTAGATATGAATCGTACCTGCCACTTCTGGCTCTTCTATTTGTTCTATTATAACTTTATATGGCTTATGGAAGATATATATCGATAAGGAAGTAGAACTAATTTCGGAACTGCTGGGGTGCGTTCAGAAATGTGGGGTAAATGCGCCCGGACGCCGTCCAAATTCTAAAAAGCGTTCCTAAATATGAAACGTTTTATCTGCACGAATTACCCCAGCCGTTCCTATTTAAAAGAAGAACGCGTCGGGATGAAGAAATTTTACCCACCGTGTTGAGTAGGGTAATTTTTAATCGACTTGCGCAGTATGTCATAACTCTAATTAACCTATGAGGACCACCTAGTATTTAATTTCCTATTTTTACTTTTTGATTAAAAAATATTTTAATATGAGTATGAGTGAGAGATTTAATTCCATAATTATCGTCCAGTTGTCCAAAACGATGGTAATTTCATTATAGAAAATGATAAAATTTTATGACACAAGATTAAAGGTAATGAATTGAATTTTTACATAAAAAAGTCTTTCTGGACGTCAATGATGTTACCTATTTACTAATTTTTGATAATTACTACAATCTCTGATAACAGAAAAGACATAACCAAAAATTTGATTTGACAATACTTTGCACTTACCGTTCGTATTTATCGGGCAAACATAAACGTTCCGACGAATTTTGTCCAAACGATTGAAAATTTAACGCTCTCCATTTCTGAACGCACCCCTGTTTTAATTTAATAATTTCTAGATGTAAAATTGCAAAATATGTGACGATACACTAGGGAGGGGGAGTCTCACAAATGTGACCAGCTGTGACTAGGACGGAGGGGTCAAAAAATCATAAAATTCGTGTGACGTAATTTATGGATGGCCCCTAATACATAAATAGCTATTTTGTTACAATAATTTTATGAACTTATTTTACTTACCTACTAGCTATGAACTGATAAAGTGTTATACCCCTCGTCATAATTGAATAACGTGTTACATACAATACTTTTTCTAATTTCGACTAATAGTTGACTAAAATTGTGTTTTAGTTAAACATTACTGTCATTTAGGCAACCAATATTTATTGACAATTAGAACCACGATTACATCATTATTATTTATTTACTCTATTTATATGATTTACTAAAGTTATTTAGTTTTCAAAAATTGGGTTATTTTGTCGTGTATTGTGTTTTAATTATTTTGTGCTGATTTGGACTGGAAAATAAGGACCAAAACAACATTATTACTACTAGGTTGTAAGTTTAACCAAACTCTATTTTTGTAAACCTGCCCTTCTTTGATATAAATATTAATATATTATTAATTTTAATGCCAAAAAAGATGTATTTTTATTTCTTTTCTTTTCGACGTAAAGTAGATCATTTTGACACTTGCTGCGATTACAAAAAATGTCACTTTATATGTCAAAATTAAAAAAAAATTGTATGTCCATCCATGTAGGCGAGAGTAAATTTAATGCATATACAAATCTAATTGAAAATGTTTAATAAGGACGAAGCCGGTTAGTAAGCAAAATCAAAGTTAATTTTCTCTTTTCTGCTTTTCTTTGGATAAATCAATACCTGTAGCAGTATTAGCCAAAGGAGTAGTTGTCTTCCGAAGGGAAACAGTCGATCGTATTATTTTGTGACACATGGCTCAAAAAATATAATCAAAGCACAAATAGTGTGAAAAACAAAACAGCGAAAATCAATAAAGTTTAATGTAATATAAAAAACACAATTTTTAAAATGTGACGCTTAACTCCCGTTTCCACGCATTTATTTTACGATCTATTCCAGGAAACCGATCCTGGCCAGACATCCAATTTCACATGGCGCCAGCCAGCATCAACTCAGACGCGGGGGCGAAAGTAAGAAAGGTTTTGGGCATCACGGATGAGTTATACAACACAGTCTACAAGCCAATTGCGAATAAGGATGTGTACACACTGATGCCCCTGCTGTTGAGGCCGAAATCGAGAGGGTGGGTCAGGTTGAGGAATAAGAGTCCGTTTTCGCCGCCTTTGATCAACGCAAATTATTTTGACGATCCTTTTGATATAAAGACTTTAGTTGAAGGTAAGATGGTAAAATAAATATTTTCAATTTCAGGCAATACACGGTGCATTTTATATATCATCTCATGCTATCAGTATTTAATCTGGGAAATTAAATTTTTGTATTAGTCGTAGCTTCTATTATATTTCTTTATTTCCAATTAAATCACCATTACATCGTTATGACTACCTCCATGCAAAATCCCAATACTTCTTAGAATCTGACAATCGCAACAGCAATCAATCATCCATCGCCATAACAACTCTAACTTGATTTTTAATTTATACTATTCAATTTTCTGACTAAAAAATATTGTCAATAACAAATTTTAACAACAAAAATGTTTCACTTTGACTTCCAGACATTTTCATATTTATTTATAGGAAGTAATAATTACAAACAAATTTCTAGTTGAATAATTATCTAACTGTCAAAAACATAGAATCTCAAGCTAAACTTCTCTTTAAAAAAAGCTGATAAGCTAATTTAAGTTGGAAGTTATTTTTAAACAATTTAAATAAAAATACCCCCAACACAAAATATGGTATTTTATTAAAAAGGTATCCAATAAAAAATACAACGGAAACAAAACACCTATACCTTCAGAAATAATCGACAATTTATTAAAATGTTTTGCCCCTGATACTATTTCTAATTTTCCTCAGACTTTTAAAATAAACATTAACGATTTCAATTAGCAAGCCCTTCACATACACAGAATTAGAGTCCACCTTTAACATAAATCACAAAAGCGCACCTGGCAAGGATATGATCAGTTATAAATTTCTAAAAAAAATACAGTTCAAAGGCTAAAGGGAAGCAGCTAACCTTTTATAATGATTGGTGGAGGAAAGGTGAAATAGCTGATCAAATTAAAGAAATCGTTATCACATTAATCAAAAAACCAAATCAAGATCCCAATCTAACAACATCCTACCGTCTTATATCCTTATTATCCTGTTTGACAAAAACTTATGAACGCATGATAAAGTTAAGGCTAGATTGGCATCTTTTACGGCAACCCAGTATGGATTTCGAAGAGGAATGGGAACAATTGAAGCTGCCTCACATCTGGTAACAGACACAATATTCTTTTTCTGGTAATTCCTATTTGGCCAGTTTATTTATTGATCTAAGATGTTCATACGAATCTGTTGACTTTAATATTTTAGTGGATAAAATAATTATGGTAAAAATAAGAACGGAAGCATCTACTAATGTTATTAAAATCTTTAGTAAAAGTAAAATATATATTAAAGACCAAAACAATAATCTCCATAGACCTAAATGGATACACCAAGGTATTCCACAAGGAGCAGTTCTCAGTCCTCAGTCCTCTTCTTTTTAATGTATATGCCTACGATATTTATAGCCTCCTTGACAAAGACATAAAATGTGTTCAATACGCTGATGACTTTTGATTTTACATGGTACAGAACTCCTATTTTATCTGTATTAAACAACTTAAGTACGCACTCTATTCCCTTAAGAACTGGTTTAGTGAGCACAACTTAGTTATTTCTTCTGACAAATCTGCTATTGTAGTATTTACAAGATACAGATTACAAACCCCTCCAAGTGTGACTCTATGTGGACTAGAAATTCCTATAAAAAAGCAATATAAATATTTAGGTGTCGTTTTGGACAATAAGCTCTTACGGAATAAGCATTCAAAATAAATGTGAGAAAGGAATGAACATGCTTAAATGTGTCACAAAAACGGATGGCACAAAATTGATCGAAAAACATTTGATCGAATTGGAAATTTGATCGAAAATACATTTAATCGAATGGCATTTGATCGAAAATACATTTGATCGAATAACATTTGAACGAAGGTATATTTTATCGAATAACATTTTATCGAAAAGACAATAGATCGAAAATTTATTAGATCGAAAGGACACTATATCGAAAATCAACATTAAAAATAGTAAAATATCAACAAATCAAACGACACTATTCAACCGTCCGTCTAATCCCTACTACCAGGGAAACTAAACTAAGCGGCTATCAAAATTAGGTACTAATGACAAATTTTTCAATAATCTCAAATGATAGCTCCCTCGTTTACCAAATTTTGTACTTACAATACTGTTAATTTAAAAATAATTATTTTAGAGCTAAACGGTTATTTATCTTCATTTATATTAAAAAAATGTGATTAATTCACACAAAATATGTATTTCAATCAGGTCGAGTTGTCTCCCGATGGGACATTTTAGGTTAAGTATTTAAATATTTTTTTATATAAAAAATTTAATTAATTTACCTAACCTGTGCGACCTGGAGCCGTCGCGGTTTGCCTCGCAAAAAAAAATGTAGAACAATAAGAAAAATTTAAACAAAAATTTTAACTAATTTAGCTAACCTGTGTGGCCTGGAGCACTCGAGGGTGGCTTCGCAAAAAAAATTATACAAAAAAGGGAAAAATAAAGAAAACCTAACCTATTTACTTAACCTGTACGGCCTGGAGCAATTTAACTGATTGCTCTGACACAGGTTAGGTAAGTTAGTTAAGTTTTAGGTAAGTTAGTTAAGTTTTTAAAAAACCTAACTAACTTACCTAAGCTCTGTCAGAACAATCAGTTAAATTGCCCCAGGCCGCACAGGTTAGGTAAATTAGTTAGGTTTTCTTTATTTTTATTTATTTTTATAAAACTTAACTAACTTACCTAACCTGTATCAGAAATCAGTTAAATGGCTCCAGTCTGAAAACTTCACGGTTTGCCTCGCAAAAAAATTATAAAAATAAAAAAAAACTAATTTACCTAACCTGTGAATAAAAATTTAACTGATTGCTCTCGCACAATTTGGATTAGTTAGGTACGTTACTTAACTTTATTTTATTTTTCATTTTTTTTATTATTCTATAATTTTATGAATATTTGGTTTTTCGATCAATTGCTTTTTCTATAAAATCTATTTTCGATTTTCTTTTCGATCATTTTTCTGTTCGATCATTTTTGTTTTCGATCAATTGTTATTCGATAAAATGTTTCTTCGATCAAATGCATTCGATCAATTTTGTGCCACCCCACAAAAACTAAATGTGGTTCTGATCCTAATATCGCGCAATTCTACAGGGCATACATTCGTTTAATACTGGATGGGAGTATCTTTACGGTTCAGCATCAGAATGTCACGTACGTATAATAGGCAAAATTCAGTATCATGCAATTAGAATATGCATTGGAGCTATGAAGTCGTCACCGGTACAAGCAATATTAGTTGAGGTTCAAGAACCGCCCCTCATGATCAGGCGTACCTATCTAGCCTCAAAAGAAGTGATTAAACATAAATGTTTTTATTCTGGCTAGCACTAAGCAATCTTACTGCTAATTACTGGAAATAGAAAAAGAGTCCCTTATTAGCAGATGCTTTTACAAATGAAACTACAAATCCAGAAATATATCTTAATACATTTTTCATTAACACTTTATCCTTCGACACTATCGTATTTAAGCCAACAGTAATATTCCCCCATTACAATGAAATATAAACCTACAATATTAAAAATCTTCAATCCATCCTGAGTCGCTTCTTCAACCATCTTTACATTTATACAGACGGCTCAAAATCCAGCGAAGGTACTGGTTATGCATTTCACATTTCTAACATCAATTATAACATCCAATGTAAATTCTCCAATAACTGTTCAGTGTACTTTGCAGAAACTTTAGCCATTGAACATGTTCTAAAGTGGCTCACAGACAATAAAGAAGCCAAGAATGCTGTTATTATTTCAGACTCTAAATCTGTTCCAATTTGAATATTTTTAAAATATAAAAATCTCAAAATTTATGTAATATAAAAGAATATATGCATACACTATCTCTGCTGGGAAACAAAATAACCTTTTTGTGGGTAGAGTCATTGCGGGATAAAGGGTATAAATCCATCATCATTCTGTTCATGTGACAATATTTCACTTGAGGACATAAATTATATTTTCTTTTCCTGTGGTAACCATAGACGTTATACCGAACAACTATTACAAACTATAGCTTCAAATCATATTTCCCTACCTTCAAATATTACATCCTTAGCACTCAAAGTAAAAATATTTTCGATGCCTTGATTACCCTTTTTAAACAAATTAATGTAGATATTTAAAAAATGTTCTTCTTATATAATAATATAATATTCGTAATTATATAAACAGTCTGTGGCAAATGGATCATTCCGATGCCAACGCACCCCCCACACACATAGGAAGTGCTTCAAAAACGGCTCCAAAATTTTGAGTGTCACATATCGTCGTTACAAGTCAAAATCTGCTATGTATGTTTTAGCAAATTTTACAGAAGGCTTAAAAAATTTAACAATGGGACCAAATCTCCTCCAGATTTTATAATCTAAAATAAATACTATTAGTCCAGGATCCGTAAGTAGGGTCGACCTTCACCCATCTGTTTAATGGAAAAAACTTATTTTTTATTAAATAAAATATGTTTTTAAATATACTGCAAATGGGTTGCCTAAGAAAATACGGTCACGGCCATTTTTTACTTTCCTTTCTGTGTACAGATAAAGAAAGTATAAAAATCATGATAAAAGTTGTTTATGATGTCATTATCTATTATTTTGTTCCTATACATGATTTTCTTAAAATGGACCTAATTCGAGATATTTGAGGTAAAGTGCAAATTTCGAATTTTGAAGACAACTCAAAAACGGATGAAGAGAAAAACACCAAATTTTAAATTTAAGCTTTAATCCATCCTGCGGTGAGCTGATTAAAGTTTGGGCATAGTTGAAGCATCTGGGGAATACTTTACAGGGTGTCGTTTTTTTTACTTTAAGAAAAAAATACTCTGGACCGTATTTTCTTAGGCAACCCATTTTCGGTATATTTATAAATATATTTTATGTAATAAAAAGAAACTTTCATTCATTAAACAGATGGGTGAAGGTCTACCTTACTTCGGATCTTAGACTATATATACTGGATACAATTATATTACAAAATTATATTATAGAAAGGTTTAACAAACTCAAAATATGTCATGTACAGTAATATCTCAATATCTGACAAAATACCATAGCAGCTTTTGACGATATACATTCTATTTATTTTTACCTAATACGCTTATATCTTACGATTTTGACTGTAAAGTTAGTCAAACTCAGTTTTCTATACAACAAAACGGCTATAGTGAGAAAAAGCAAGATACGGAGACTTGCTTGTCTCTGAATAAAAGGGAGAGTGAAAACTACCCCCAATGTAAGCATTGTTACCACTTCATTATGTGATACAGAGGAGGTACTTACAGAATAAAGAGCACTCTGGGAAATCTTAACATTAGACCAGGATACGTAACTATCTCGAGATAAGCGATAAGAACAGTGCTGGACAAGAGGCAGATCTCAAAACCAAGCGCTACTTCTTCAACACTCTATTTGAGGTTCTAATTCAGAATGAAACGGAGATCACGATTAAGGAACCCAGTGTCCAAAGATAGGAACAAACCTGTTCTAAGACTGCGAAAGGAACTGTTGTTGCAGTATTATTCCAAAAATACTAACACCAACCTTAGTTATTAAATAAGAAAACATATCTCAGTATTTCAGGCAACGATTTATGGAATCTTCAAATTGAAAGAACAAACAACAGGAGAGCTACATAAGTCTAGCAGATCCATATAATGTCAGATAAGGCTATATCGAGTTAGAAAATAACGTCGAGGCTGGAATGGGCTTGAATTAAAGAACTGAAAACATAGGTAGACCGAAATAGAGTAAAATTAATTTGGTTAAAAAGACGTTCAGAAGAAACATCGGAACCAGGGACGTACCTTGGAGTGCCAAAAAGTATAGTACGAGGTTTCATAAAAGAAAGAGTTCGTATAAAACACAAGTATTGGGAGAATGTTCCAAAACGAGCTGATGGAAAAGACAATATTAAAAAATAACAGAAGAACTACAACTCTCTAGGAATAGGAACTAGTTGAAAATAATAACAGGAATCATAACTGAGCATGTCCCAGTAAAGAGATACGTGAGCAAAATAGGAGTTGTATGATGGAGTTCTATTGTGTCGACTATATTACAAGGAACCAAAACCAGTCAAACATATATTGTGCGATTGCGAAACATTATATCGCAAAAAACAGACACTTTGTGGACAACTACAGTTTAATCCAGGAGCCTACAGAACACACTCAACTTATACTAAGTGGGTACTATGAATTACCATGGGGTAAAACACAAGATATTTCATATAGTGTTATCGGAGACTAGAATAGATTCGAAAGAAGTTGGACATTATTTGTACTTATTCATTGCTCTCTACTGTGGATATCGGAGACTAACACCAGTATGCTTAGTCCTTCGCCAGCGATTCGCCAGAGATTCATCTCGGCAGTATCACCAGCAAGTAGCCAGCTTTTCGCCATAACAAATATAGAAGCGCGTGTAATTTTTAGCGGAGAACGACTGTGCCTCAGAATTCTTGTCTAGTGAACGGCGAAATCCTGGAGACTCCCAAGTCTATCACCTATCATTCTATTTAGTTTCTTGGCCTTTCTTACTTTTTTATCCCTTTCTTTCGATTTTATGGATTTTAAAGGTTATTGATCCCTTTTCTCTTTAAGTTCTCTCCGTTATCTTCTCGGGGTACAACATTTCCTTCGATGTTATTCTAGTTTCCTAATTTGTTGTAAATGGTCAAGTCTAATTTCCATTTGTTTTACCTTGGTACTTGCACTAATGCATTTCTTTTTCAGTATTGTTTTTGTGAGCACCTCCTCTTCGGTCAATGTGAAGGTGATTTTAAACATTGCGACCATATACGAGGGTGAATCAAATATAAACGGGATTTTTTTTTAAATTAACTGTATTTATTAAACGATGATAGACAAAAATAAGTTATTTTTCTACATAATCTCCCCCTTTGCCAGTGTTGCCAGATGGAAATTTCTGTCAACAGTAGGAATGTAGTCAAAGAAACAGGAGATTGCTTTTTTCAACAGGAGATTTTAATAAATCTATTTTTTAATAAAGGAACCCAGTACAATTATAAGAAATTACAAATACAACTGTAGGGAGTTCAATTAATATTTTTCATTTACATCGAAACGTCACGTGACTAAGCAACTGTCAATTGTTAAAATGATAAATCCCGCCGAAGCTGAAGTAAGTCAAATCGTCTTCTAGTCGGTTAGTATAACAGGTCAAACAAATTAAAAAAAATCATAAATACATGTAAAGGAAACAAATGTAAAATTTCTTAATAATAAAATAAAATTACAAAAGTATTCTGGCTCTGAGCGGGCAGAAATGCGGTCCAAATCGTCGTCGAAACACAGTGTCGTAGTAAAATATTCTAGTGAAGATTACTGAAATCAACAGAAGATTTCATAGAAACAAAAAAATATATAAAAATAGACAATGAGGCTAAAAACAGTAGATTTCACAGTGAAAAGAGTAAGAATAGGAGATTAAGAGTGAAAATAGGAGATCTCCTGTTAAAACAGGTTTGGGATCTGAAACGACTGGCTCCTCCTACTCTCAGTGACCTCACCCAAGCATACAAGAAGCACGCGCTCACTCCTGTCAACCGTAAATGCTCAGGAAAAAAATCTCGTTCATAATTGATTCATCCTCGTATTTAATTGTAAAAAATGTGGCAAAAAATACAAGGTATAAAATGTTTGGGGACAAAAGTCTCCAGGATCGAAGATCGGCACATCTAGGACATGCCTACTAGAAGGCTCGGTTGCAGGAAAAATTTAAGCTAAGAGCGTAGCTTTAAATTCTCAAAATAAGAATATTAAAAGAGGAAGATTTGCACCCGCTTTATATTCTAAATTTCTTCAATAGGATTAGATGTTATAGGCGCCAAAACAACTTCATCATCGCCTTTCAGATAGAGGAAAGCCTAATTTAAATATTTCACACCACAGTGAACAAAACACTCCATATCATAATATCTTTCCTGGTCCTACTGATAATTTCTTAAGCTATTTTTATTACTAATTTTTAATCCTAGCTATTCAGTAGTTGTGACTAGCTCTACTACTTCGATGATGATGATTTCTGTTGTTTTCCCGGTTTCATTTCCATTTACATTTTTTGCATTATTTTGATTTGAATCCTTGCAAAATGAATATGTGTGAAAAGGCAAATACTTTTATTTTTTTGTTTACCGTTATTAATGAACTCACAAAGTAGTATATCATTCCAGATTTAAAAAAGTAACCTCTCTAGATTGTAATCTATTTTGTTTTTAGGTGCCAAAATAGCTATCAACATAAGCGAAACCCACGCATTCAAAAAATTCGGCAGTCGCCTGCACAGCATCCCGTTCCCCAATTGTCGCCAGTTCGAATTCACCAGTGACGAATACTGGGAGTGCCATATCAGGACCATATCGATGACCATCTACCATCCGGTGGGTACGTGCAAGATGGGTCCTTCCTGGGATCACCAGGCCGTTGTGGACCCCAGGTTGCGGGTTTATGGAGTGGGTGGATTGAGAGTTATCGATGCTTCGATAATGCCGACCATTCCCAGTGGGAATACCAACGCACCTACCATCATGGTGGGCGAAAAGGGAGCCGATTTGGTGAAGGAGGACTGGTTGGGGGGTGCTTACGAATGAACTTTATTCTGCCAGTTTTATTTTGTTGTGTTTGTATGTTTTGTAAATAAATATTTTATGTTTTTCTTTAGTGTGTTCTTTCAACTAATAGTTATTTGTGTACTAAGGCCATAAAGTTAATAAGTTGATCTTTTTTGGCCAAAAAAAATCATACCAAACCAAATGTTTTAAAACAAGATTAAAACAAAAGAATAAAAAAAAATATATTTAAAATCAATAAAAGGGGACGAAGCCTATTGATTTTTAAAAAAATCTAAATAAAAATAGGGGGTTTAAGGGGAGTAGAAATAGTAAAAAAAAATCTTAATTAGAAAACTATAAAAAATAAATTAAAATTTTTAGCAAAAATCAAACCCTATAAAGGGACAAAGCTTATTGCATTTTGAAAAAAATATAATTAAAAATGACGGGTTAAGGGGGATGAAATAAAAAAATAATAAATAGTAAAAATTAAGCTCTATAAGAAAATGAAGCCTATTGATTTTGAAAAAATCTGAATCAAAATGGGGGTTAAGGGGATTGAAATATTTAAAAAAATCCTAACTCAAAAACAAAAAGATATCAACTTGAAATGAAGATGTAGCTTATTGATTCTGAATATGACTACAAATGGAGGATAAGAGAGATTGAAATTAGGGCCAGGTGATTATTCAAATAAATAATTAATTATCGATTATTTAAAATAATCTATTAATCGAAAATAATTGATTATTCAAAAATAATCGATATCGAAAGAAATCAATTAATCGAAAATAATCGATTGATCTAAAATAATCAATTATTCGAAAATAATCGATTAATAGGAAATAACCGATTGTCGAAAATAACCGACCAATCGAAAATATTTGAATAATTAAATAATCGAAAGTAATCGATTAATCGAAAATAATCTGACTAAAAATGGGGGATAAGGGGGTTGAAATTAGGGCAGAGCGATTATCAAAATAAATATTCGATTATAAATTATTTAAAATATTCAATTAATCAATTAATCGAAAATAATCGATTATTAAAAATAATCGATTAATAAAAATAATCGATTAATTGAAAATAATTGAATAGTCGAAAGTAATCGATTAGTCGAAAATAATTGATAAATTAAAAATAATCGATTAATCGAAAATAATCGAGTGATCGATTAATCGAAAATATTCGATTAATCAAAAAGTATCGATTACTCGAAAATAACCAATTATCTATTAAAAAATAATATAATAATCGATTATTTTGCTCACCTCTAGTTGAAATATTGAAATAAAAAAATACGTGTGGCACTCGGGGACTGCCGCGGTAAAGCTATTGCATAGCATTTTTTTATCAACTTATGCAATTATAATTATTTATTTATTTTATTTATGCAGTATATTTTTTTTTCTTTGATATTAATTCAAGATTTTTCTTTGGTATTAATTCAAGTTACACTTTTGAGCGTGGTGACCAATAAGAAAACAAATTTTTTTCTTTTATTGAATAAATGAGAAGTTAATATTATTTAAAATATTTTTATTATCTTACAATACATATAGGTTATTCAGGAATTTTTATCATTGACACTATAGGTTTATGGTAACTGAAATAAGAAACAAGTTTGAGAGTTGATATCCTCTAAATATCTGGAAAATACCGCGTCAATGGTGGTCCCTTATTTTGTTGTGGATTCTTGCAGATCATTATTCATTTTCAAATTCAATTTTTCCGAAATTGTGTCTAAAAGAGATAGAATCAGTTATAAGCAGTTAGCAACTAGTCTACACGCATACGTCTAGTCGCACGCACACAAACACCATGCCAAAGTCTGCCAAACTGAAACGACGTTAGACGATGCACGGCTTTCAACGCCGCACCGTCGGAGTGGGAAGTGTTAAGTTTATTTTCGTTACGGAATTTCTTTTTCGATTTTTCGATTTTCCGATTCTTCGATTTTTCGATTTTTCGATTTTTCGATTTTTAGATTTTTAGATTTTTAGATTTTTAGATTTTTAGATTTTTAGATTTTTCGATTTTTCGATTTTTCGATTTTTCGATTTTTCGATTTTTCGATTTTTCGCTTTTTCGATTTTTCGATTTTTCGATTTTTCGATTTTTAGATTTTTAGATTTTTAGATTTTTAGATTTTTAGATTTTTAGATTTTTAGATTTTTAGATTTTTAGATTTTTAGATTTTTAGATTTTTAGATTTTTAGATTTTTAGATTTTTAGATTTTTCGATTTTTCGATATTTCGATTTTTCGATTTTTCGATTTTTCGATTTTTAGATTTTTAGATTTTTAGATTTTTAGATTTTTAGATTTTTAAATTTTTAGATTTTTAGATTTTTAGATTTTTAGATTTTTAGATTTTTAGATTTTTAGATTTTTCGATTTTTCGATTTTTCGATTTTTCGATTTTTCGATTTTTCGATTTTTCGATTTTTCGATTTTTCGATTTTTCGATTTTTCGATTTTTCGATTTTTAGATTTTTAGATTTTTAGATTTTTAGATTTTTAGATTTTTAGATTTTTAGATTTTTAGATTTTTAGATTTTTAGATTTTTAGATTTTTAGATTTTTAGATTTTTAGATTTTTAGATTTTTAGATTTTTAGATTTTTAGATTTTTAGATTTTTAGATTTTTAGATTTTTAGATTTTTAGATTTTTAGATTTTTAGATTTTTAGATTTTTAGATTTTTAGATTTTTAGATTTTTAGATTTTTAGATTTTTAGATTTTTAGATTTTTAGATTTTTAGATTTTTAGATTTTTAGATTTTTAGATTTTTAGATTTTTAGATTTTTAGATTTTTAGATTTTTAGATTTTTAGATTTTTAGATTTTTAGATTTTTAGATTTTTAGATTTTTAGATTTTTAGATTTTTAGATTTTTAGATTTTTAGATTTTTAGATTTTTAGATTTTTAGATTTTTAGATTTTTAGATTTTTAGATTTTTAGATTTTTAGATTTTTAGATTTTTAGATTTTTAGATTTTTAGATTTTTAGATTTTTAGATTTTTAGATTTTTAGATTTTTAGATTTTTAGATTTTTAGATTTTTAGATTTTTAGATTTTTAGATTTTTAGATTTTTAGATTTTTAGATTTTTAGATTTTTAGATTTTTAGATTTTTAGATTTTTAGATTTTTAGATTTTTAGATTTTTAGATTTTTAGATTTTTAGATTTTTAGATTTTTAGATTTTTAGATTTTTAGATTTTTAGATTTTTAGATTTTTAGATTTTTAGATTTTTAGATTTTTAGATTTTTAGATTTTTAGATTTTTAGATTTTTAGATTTTTAGATTTTTAGACTTTTAGATTTTTAGATTTTTAGATTTTTAGATTTTTAGATTTTTAGATTTTTAGATTTTTAGATTTTTAGATTTTTAGATTTTTAGATTTTTAGATTTTTAGATTTTTAGATTTTTAGATTTTTAGATTTTTAGATTTTTAGATTTTTAGATTTTTAGATTTTTAGATTTTTAGATTTTTAGATTTTTAGATTTTTAGATTTTTATTAGATTTTTAGATTTTTAGATTTTTAGATTTTTAGATTTTTCGATTTTTCGATTTTTCGATTTTTCGATTTTTCGATTTTTCGATTTTTCGATTTTTAGATTTTTAGATTTTTAGATTTTTAGATTTTTAGATTTTTAGATTTTTAGATTTTTAGATTTTTAGATTTTTCGATTTTTCGATTTTTCGATTTTTCGATTTTTCGATTTTTCGATTTTTCGATTTATCGATTTTTCGATTTTTCGATTTTTCGATTTTTAGATTTTTAGATTTTTAGATTTTTAGATTTTTAGATTTTTAGATTTTTAAATTTTTAAATTTTTAGATTTTTAGATTTTTCGATTTTTCGATTTTTAGATTTTTAGATTTTTAGATTTTTAGATTTTTAGATTTTTAGATTTTTAGATTTTTAGATTTTTAGATTTTTAGATTTTTAGATTTTTAGATTTTTAGATTTTTAGATTTTTAGATTTTTAGATTTTTAGATTTTTAGATTTTTAGATTTTTAGATTTTTAGATTTTTAGATTTTTAGATTTTTAGATTTTTAGATTTTTAGATTTTTAGATTTTTAGATTTTTAGATTTTTAGATTTTTAGATTTTTAGATTTTTAGATTTTTAGATTTTTAGATTTTTAGATTTTTAGATTTTTAGATTTTTAGATTTTTAGATTTTTAGATTTTTAGATTTTTAGATTTTTAGATTTTTAGATTTTTAGATTTTTAGATTTTTAGATTTTTAGATTTTTAGATTTTTAGATTTTTAGATTTTTAGATTTTTAGATTTTTAGATTTTTAGATTTTTAGATTTTTAGATTTTTAGATTTTTAGATTTTTAGATTTTTAGATTTTTAGATTTTTAGATTTTTAGATTTTTAGATTTTTAGATTTTTAGATTTTTAGATTTTTAGATTTTTCGATTTTTCGATTTTTCGATTTTTCGATTTTTCGATTTTTCGATTTTTCGATTTTTCGATTTTTCGATTTTTCGATTTTTCGATTTTTCGATTTTTCGATTTTTCGATTTTTCGATTTTTCGATTTTTCGATTTTTCGATTTTTCGATTTTTCGATTTTTCGATTTTTCGATTTTTCGATTTTTCGATTTTTCGATTTTTCGATTTTTCGATTTTTCGATTTTTCGATTTTTCAAGGGGTTAGGTTTATTTTCAGAAATAAAAAACGATATTACATTGAAATCTTCAGGAAAAATCAAGCTTTATAAGGGGATGAAGCCTATTTATTCTGAAAAAAAAAAAAACTAAATAAAAATGAGGGATTAAGGGGGTTGAAATATTTAAAAAAATCCTAACTCAGAATCGAAAAACAATATTAACTTGAAATTTTTAGCAAATATCAAGCTCTATATGGGGACAAAGCCTATAATTTTAAAAATAATTAAAAAAAAATGGAGGTTGAAATACCAAAAAAATAGAAATCAAACACCAAACACCACATGACATCTTCGGGAGATGAAGCCTGTTGATTTTGAAAAAATATGAATAAAAACGAGGGATTAAGGGGAGCGGGGTCTGCTAAGCTGTGAAGAGTATAATATAGAATGTCAAGCATTATATATCTTCTTGTGAATAAGGATAATGTCCTGAAATATTTTTAT